CATCTACCACTTTCATTCTGGGGTTATTGTGTTCTTACTGCCGCTCATCTAATTAATCGCACCCCGTCGCGTGTTTTGGATAGCAAAACTCCATATGAGATGCTATATGGGAAGCTCCCTGATTATTCTCGCTTACGTGCTTTTGGGTGTTTGTGCTATGTTTATAATTGCGATCGACATGGGGACAAATTTGCTAGTCGCAGTCGTCGGTGTATATTTGTTGGATATCCACTTGGGCAAAAAAGATGGCGCGTTTATGATTTGGATCGTGAGAGTTTTTTTGTTTCCCGAGATGTTAAGTTTGTTGAGACGGAATTTCCTTACGAGACATCTTCTTCTGCTCCTTCGCCTACTTCGTCCCCTACTGTTGTCACTTGGCCTCCTACTTTAGACGAGGATGATGAGCACATGTTAGTTGTACCTCCTGCTGTTGTGGCTGATCCGCCTGTTGTCTCTGACTCTTCCCACGTCAGGGAGGGCTCTTCCTCTTTGATTTCGGCTCTGGCTGAGCCTACCGAACTGTTGGGTCGCGGTCACCGTACTCGCCACCCCTCGACTCGCCTTCGTGATTTCATTGCTGCCACTGTCTTTCCCCCTAGTCCCTCTGTTGCCCCGCCTGCCTCGTCATCATCCTCAGGTACCTTTTATCCTATCACTCATTATGTTAATTGTGATTCTTTCTCATCGGGCCGTAAGACATTTCTGGCAGCTCTTGCTTCCGCGATTGAGCCTCGTACCTTTGCTGAGGCAGCTTCTGATAGTCGATGGCGCACGGCTATGCAGAATGAAGTCCAGGCTCTCGAGAACAATGGTACTTGGGAGGTGGTTTCCCTTCCTGCCGGAAAACGTGCTATTGGCTGTAAGTGGATTTACAAGATTAAATATCGATCTGATGGTTATGTTGAGCGCTATAAAGCGCGACTTGTGATTTTAGGTAACAATCAGGTCGAAGGCATTGATTATCATGAGACTTTCGCTCCTGTTGCCAAAATGGTTACAGTGCGGACTTTCTTAGCGGTTGCAGCAGCTCGGCAGTGGGAGGTTCATCAGATGGATGTTCATAATGCCTTTCTTCATGGTGATCTCGCTGAGGAGGTCTACATGAAGGTTTCCCCTGGATTTTGTTCTGGTGATGATGGACGGTTGTGTCATTTGCATCGCTCGTTATATGGTTTGAAGCAGGCACCACATTGCTGGTTTGCGAAACTAGCGACTTCTCTCCTTCAGTATGGTTTTTCTCAGTCGCATTCTGATTACTCTTTGTTTACCTTGCATCGCGGTTCTGTGCAGTTGCAAGTGTTGGTGTACGTTGATGATCTCATTGTCTCTGGTAATGATCCTACGTCCATTGTGGCCTTTAAGAGTTACTTGAGCCGTTGCTTTCACATGAAGGATTTGGGTCTCTTGAAGTACTTTCTGGGCATTGAGGTTGCTCTTAACACTTCAGGCATTTTTCTGTGTCAACGAAAATATACTTTGGACATCATTTCTGAAGTTGGCTTATTGGGTGCCAAGCCTGCGGCATTTTGCACTGGAACAGAATCATCATCTTCTTGATGATACCGGTCCTCTCTTGGCCGACTCGGAGGCTTATCGGCGCTTGATTGGTCGGTTGATTTATTTGGCCGTTACGCGTCCTGAGCTGTCTTATTCTGTCCATGTTCTTGCTCAGTTTATGCATCAGCCTCGGCAAGCACATTGGGAGGTTGCTTTACGTGTTGTGCGTTACTTAAAGGGATCTCCTGGGCAAGGTATTGTGCTTCGTTCTGACTCTGATCTTCAACTCTCTGGATGGTGTGATTCTGACTGGGCGACATGTCCCCTTACTCGTCGTTCCCTCAGTGGCTGGTTTGTTCAATTAGGCCAGTCTCCTATTTCTTGGCGTACAAAAAACAACACATGGTGGCGCGTTCTTCTGCTGAAGCTGAGTATCGGGCTATGGCTACAGTCATTTGTGAGCTTAAATGGTTAAAGGGGTTACTACACAGTCTTGGCGTGTCTCATTCGCAGCCTGTGCGTCTTTATTATGATAGTCAGGCAGCATTACATATTGCTGCAAATCCCGTTTTTCATGAACGGACTAAGCATATTGAGGTGGACTGTCACTTCGTTCGTGATGTACTTGTTCAAGGCCTTGTTTCTGCATCACATGTTTCTACTCATACACAGTTGGCTGATCTTTTTACCAAGGCACTTGGCAAGCGCGAGTTCGACTTCTTCCTTAGCAAGTTGGGCATTCGTAATCCCCATGCTCCAACTTGAGGGGGGGTGTTGATATAGTATTAGTGTTTTCCCTTTTGTACCCTTGTTTAGTTAGTTTCTTGTAGAGCAAGTATACATATCCTTGTAACCCTAATTGATTTCATATATATGTGAGCGTCGTATACGAGATCATCAGATTGATATCTCGCTAAATGTCTTTCTCCTTCTTCCTGCTTTGACAGATTTGGAGCCGCGGCCACATCAGTTCTTGTTATTTGGTTTGGATAGCATGAATTGCATAAAGAATGGTTGGATGATTTTATGATATTGGGATTGATGATTATTATAGTATTTGGCAATGCGTGTATTAGTGTAGATGTCACATTATCTTACGTACAAATGAAAATACTTACTTTTAATACTTGTACGTCCTTTGTTTTTTTTTTTAAACGATGATTATATTAATAACAAACTCAAAACAGTACAATCGAAGTGTCAAATAACACACTGGAACCAGAAAATTGGACCAGCAACTCTTGTCATCACACACAAGGGGTACAAACTCCAACAAGAAGGTGAAAAACCACAAAACAAAACTCCAAAATAGAGACACTAACTCAATATAGAAGAGAAAACAGACACAGCTGCACTAAAAGCAGACAATTGCACTTAACCAACAAAAAACACAAGAAAAAAACAACTCACGCCTAATTAATAAAATAAAGCCCTCATCGGCCGCCGTCAAAATACACATACACTACAACCTCACAAGCCAACAAGTCGAAGAAATCTACATAGAAGAGCCCGTCCTCAGTCTAGAATACCAGTCCAAAAACTCCGCACTCCAAATCGGCTACAATTATCCAAATCTGAGATCCTCAACCTCGAAAAGGCATTCAATGCAAAGAGACCACTTCAATCAATGCCGAGCCACAAAACACGTCCCCCGCCCCACACACACATCAAAGACCAACCGCAACCTGCCGTGAAGACCAGCCCTTGAGAAATAAGGCACGAACAGAGTGGGGACGTCAGCAACACAAAAGCTGCCGGAGCTCGACTTTCACCCTTCAACGACGTCTAAGGCACGTGGAGCACGAACAAGGAGAGGGGGCGAGTTGCCGCCGATTTCAGGTTTTAGAGTTAAGGGGCCAAATATGGACTTCAGTGATAGTTGAAGGGCCACCAGCGGACTTTTTACTTAATTCAAAAATAAACATAGCCTGCCATATTAGTCCCTGCTCCACATGCCAGCCTATCATCCAGTGATAGGACTGTCTATTAAAAGGTTGGAACATTATTCATCAGATTTCAAATACGTGTTTAGTGGTATAAACGAGGTTTTCATCGTCCACGAGTCGCCGATGGTGACTTCGGGAATCTTCAGATCTGTCGGCTCAGTCATTCGGAGGTGCTCATAAGGGTATGATTTGCTTATGTGTATTCACAGAAGTATGTGTGCGCGTATTATGTTAGAGTAGGGTACCCGGCGTTCCAATCTAATTGGACGTATTCTACTTGTAAACACAGTCTATTGGAATTATATTATAAATAAGGCATTTCTTTATCTTAAGAGAAAGCATTTATCTTATAATTACACTTAAGATAAAATCCCTAGATCACTCATGGTTATAAGGAATGGTTGCGCATAGAGATGGTGATCATGGAACATACCTTGAAAGCCGTGATCTTAAATACAGTTCCAAGTCGATGGATGTTTCGAGATGGGATATCGAATAATCCATAAAAGACTTGCACATAGTTTGTACGCTTGTTGGACAAGAATGTTGCATTCCATCAACATTAGATGGCACTCTGTGCGGGGCGGCGCTCCATGGCCGGCCTCCTCCCACTTCTTCCTCCGGCGACTGGTGGTGGCCTCGGCTTGTCTTTGCCCGGATCTGGTCCTCCCTTGGCTAGATCCCGCCCCCCGCCATCGGGATCCGACCAGGAATCTGCCCATCGGGGACCGTCCGTCAGGGATTCGGCCGGGGCTCCGTCCCTCTGGTCATGCGCGCGCCTCCCGCCGCCCCCCCTCCGATACCTACCCTCTGTTGGGGTAGCGTCTGGTGGCTGGGACGGTGGGTCCGCCAATCGCAGGCAGGCTGCGTCGCTGGCATTGGGGATGGCTGTGATCTAGTGCCTGTGTCGGCGGCTTCGGCCCTCCGTCGTTGTCGCTGTTGCGGGTGCCGCGAGTGGCCTGTCCTGTGGTACAGTTTCTTGGTGAAAACCTTCCCCGGTTCATTCGGGACGGCGATGGTGGCACATCTGTGACATCCCCTGGTTGAGGTATCGTCAAAGATCCTGTTCATCAGGGCAGACTGGGGTCGAAAGACCTACTCATGTGTTTTTGTCGGCGTTTTGTCATCTACGGATATCAAGGTCCTTCCTGAAGGCATCGTTGGAACACTGTTGCAGTCTATCTCCCGTTGCTCTTGCCATCTCCAGAGTGGCTTCGCTCGGCGTGCGGTTGGCCGCGGGCGTTGGAGGTCCCGCCTTACCGTGACAACTGAGTGTGGGCTCGCCGATCTCATCTCCTTGGTCAGGTTGTTCTGTGGACTGCGTCTGGTTACACAGTGGCCAGCATTTTGGACATGTCGGCGTCCGATACGTACAACATCGGATCCCTTCAGTTTGAGTACAGTTCAACGCCAGCACTTGTGGTTACATATCTGGTCACCTAGGCTTGGTTAGAGATGTGTGCCAAATGTCCAAGCTGGCAATTGGTGCGAGTGATGAGGATTATATCTTTTTGGCGGTTAAGGTACGCGGATCACCGATATTGGTTCTATGCGTTTGGCTACAGATGTGTTATGACAATGGGTTGAACTTGACCTAGAGGTGGTAGAGGCATTGGAAGGACACTCAAGTTGTAGGCTTTTATGTTTTCCTTTTCTCTTTTTTGCTCTTTCTTTCCTAGGCTTTATGCTGAACTGAAAGAGGCTTCTCGCTGTAATAAAGTTCTTGTTGGCTATATGTATCGATCGATACAGAGGCCGGAATATTAATATATTCCCGATTCTAAAAAAAAGGTTCGGCTGCATCCTTTGTCGACACGGCTTGGGGCCGCGACGCGTCGGTAATGCACGTGCGTTCTCCGACGCCCGCACGCACATCCCCCAGCCTTCCCACGTCACTGTCTCCTGGGCCAGGCCCACGAGCGCACGGTGGTGCGTCCGATAGAACCGGCGGACTGCTCATTTCCGTTAGTTTTTTTTTCTTTTCTCTTCCTTTCTTTCCTTTTCTTTTTTCCTTTCTTTTCTTTATTATTCATTTTCTTTTTTTCTTTCTTTTTTTTTATATGTATTCATTCTTCATTGTTTTTCGTTTTCCTTTCTTTGTTTTTCTTTTTTTCTTTCTTCTATTTATTTTCTTTCTTGACTTTTTTCTTTCTTTTCATACACTAAATGAAACTATTTTTTCTCTATTTACTTAATTAGTGAAATATTATACTACGTCTACGAATAGTCTTTTTGTTCGCATGTTCATTTCAGTTGTTCAGGGCCATGATATTATCTGTTCATGATTTTTTTCCTATAATTCCGTTAATTTGCTTCAATATATTTGTTAAAAAAATTCAGATTGAGTATTAACAATTAATGTTCTAATTTGAATTTCTTTTATATGAACTTGTTTATATATGTAGTCATGAATACATATAATTCTTTTAGCTCAATTAATTCATATTATTAATTGAAATTATTTCTACTCTATTTGCTTAATTGATGAAAAAAATCCGCCATGAGTAGACTTTTATTCGCATATTTATTTCAATTATTCAGGGGCATAATATAATTTGTTCATTATTTTTTTAAAATGAGTTGTCCAAATTAAATTCAGATTGCACTGTTATGTCTTTTACACTGAGGTTTTTGAAATAAGACTTCAGATGACTATATTTGGATGAGAAATATTTAGAACAAATTTTTGAAAGTGCTTGAACAATTTTTTCTTGAACCTCGAACAATGTTCCAGCTTCAGAAAAATTTGTTTCAACTTCAGAACAAAATCTTACAGCTTCAGAAATAAGTTGTTCCAGCTTCAGAAAAATTTGTTTCAACTTCAGAACAAAATCTTACAGTGAGATCTTCGAAATAAGACGACACTTGACTATATTTGGATGCAATATATTTAGAGCAACATTTTAAAAGTGTCGTAATAATTTTTTCGTAGTTCCAGTTTCACCAAAAAAATGTTTTAGCTTCGGAACAAAATCTTACAGTGAGATCTTCGAAATAAGACTACACGTACTATATTTGGATAAAATATTTTTAGAACATTTTTCTTAACCTAGAACAATGTTCCTGCTTCATAAAAAATTTGTTCCAGTTTGAGAAAAATATGTTCCATATAGAAATTTATCTAAATATATCCAAGTGTGGTCTTGTTTTGAAGATCTCGTCATGAGGATCACAGTGGTGCAATCAGAATTTTACTTAGCCATCTAATTTAGCAACTACAGTGTTTTTTCTCTCAGATTAAAATATTTCTCGATTTTGGAGACGCGGGTCC